TAAACGACATTAATTAATTTAAAGCCGCAATACAGTTACATAAATTCAATATTTGACATCTCTACTCTAAGCAGAGTATATAAAGTCTCTAATTGAGTAGTGAGTTGTCTCTAGAACAGAGTAGAACCGCGAGGACGAGCCTGAAATGGACTGTTTAATGAGCCCCTCCATGAATTTCTGGTCATTTTTAGAACTGAATTTTAATATGTTCACGTAAGGTTAACGGAATAAAGATAGTAATTCCGTGAATTACAGGCTATTTCCAATTTTTAAGATAAATTTAGAAATTACATTTGTATTCGAATATTGAAGGACAATAGCATTTTTCGACTATGGGCAAAGTTTGTGACGAAGCTGCTTACTAATGGACAGTTATTCATCGCGACAAGTGTGAAGGAAAAATACAAAAAGCGGAAGTAGAACCATTAATAAAGAATGAAAAAGAAATGTACTAGGCCCACATATCTAATAAGTGTCGTGTGAGTGAGTGAGATATATATTATATTATATATATATATATATATATATATTATATTTACTATATAATATAAGCTTTCACCACAATACGGCCATTTGAAGTAACAGACAGTTAAGAAATGCATATATCCTCAACGTCTATGCATTAATGAATATTAATGTTATTTTGAATTGCATGAAGCTATCTTTATATGTACTTAAAAATTTGTTATCTTTATTGCACATGTATCCTATGTTAATTAGCCTCAATCCGAAGCAAGATGCCAATAAACCAGCCGTAAAAAGGTAATTTGCCGTATGACATTTCTAAAATCCTTTTCTTTTAGTAAGAATTAGAGCTCTCATCAGTAATTTCTCAATGTAAAATTATCAACTGAACCTTGCTAGAGCGATGAATTAAAACCAAGTCCCCACAATAAAGAAAACCCTGTAGATTAGAATCGATACAAAAAATTATAATTGAGCTAGACCAAAATAATCATTTCGACGGACTGAGCAATTAAATTGGTGTGTAAGTCAGTTAATAATTATTTACAATATTTTAAAGAAGAAACTGTTTATATCACTTATATAATCGACGGACTGGGCATTGTACTCTTTCAAATGTAATTCTTTATATTGCCCAGTTTTCGAAACATATAGAAGTCCAAAAAAGACTAGCGCCACTTTCTTTTCCGTTCTCTACTACATATAAAACACACCCCGCGCCTGACACCGCGTTCATTGGCCCGATTTTGTTAACTCCGTACTCACGGGGGTAAAGCCGAATTCTGAGCACTTCCCCGGCGTTCCGGGTTGGTGACCGTTCCAGGACCCCGGGATCTAACGCGCCGCCGAGCCCAATTTTTTACGGGACACAATAATGGCCTAAATACAACACAAATACTACATCATAGGAGAAAAAATTTTAAAGGAAAAAAGTTGCCAACCGGATTATGTGAAAATAATGCTTGAATATTTAAAGATGTTTTCACATTTCATAGAAGAGTTCCCTTTTTTCTTTTGAGGTTTATTTTTTCTTTTGATTTCTTTAATATGTGTGATTTTCTTTTTTTTTTGTTATTCTTTTTGTTGTCTTTTTTTTTGGGGTTTTTCTGTTTTTTTTGTTTTTTTGTGTTTCGCTTTTTTTGTTTTATTTTTTTTTTTTTATTTTTTTTTTTTTTTTCTCTTGTATCTGTGATTATTTATAAGATCTGTTTTTTTATTAATTTTTCTTTCTGTTCTTTTTCTTTTTTAAAATAAAATAAATCCATAGAAAGGCGTTATAAGGGTAATTTTGGAAGAGTGCTTCTAGAAAACAGAAACTTAACCTATCACACAAGATGAAATTGAGCAAAGTAGGATACTGACAACAAGATTTAGAAAAAGCACTTTAAGACAATGAAATCCAAATAAGTCCACCTGCCTCCGGGGAGAGATACTGGCAGAATTACCTGAAATATGTCCCTATAAAACTGCCACCAAAATGTTCAAAACACATTGTATTTTAAGTGCATGAGATGGAGAGGAACCTCACGCAGAGTGCCGAACTCTACCTAACCACCATTCCAAAGAAAGATCGAGAAAGAGACAATGAAACAAACTACAAGAAGGGAATAGTAGTTTTATTGGATCTATAGGTAGTAGACTGTGCTAAGCAAAATAATACGAAATAAAATAGAAAAGAAGAGAAAATTTAATTTAAAAGGAAAAATAGAGAAAAAGAAACAATTTTTTACTGCCCGCTGTCCGTCATAGACATTATATTTACAATTAAAACAACTTATAGAAAAGAGAACAAGGAAGAGAGATAGCGGTAAGTTCATTCTGGTCATTATCTTCTAAGGGTTCCTATGATAATGTACCGGTTGCATAGAGTATGGAGAAATAGATGACTTCAAAATCACGTGAAAACCTTAATTGGCAGCCACACAAATCTTGTGAAAAACTTTAATATACACCCACACAGAATAACGATATAAGAGAAATAACACCTCTCAATAAATCTACAGCAGGCCCCTCTCGATCCATTCCCAGTCAGCAAAGGTCTTCTCAGCGTTGCCTTTTCTTCCCCATACACTGTTTAAAATATATCGTGCCAATCAAATTTACAGCCATGGAAAACAGAAAAAGAAACAAGCAGAGTAATGGGATACGATCGGACAATGGAGATAAAAATTGTTACTGTATATTTTGCCGCATGACCACCGTATTAATTGCCAAAAGAGGCCAGACGATTTGAAGTTTCATGATCGTCGAAACTCTCCAATGAACACTTTTTTAATTTTTAATAAGCCAGGAACTTAATATATTTAATATTGCGAAACAAATCTGAATACCTGGCCACTTACGTAAAAATGACAATAGAAGATCTATCTTTGTTGGAAAATGGAAGGGAAAAATGAAAGTGCTTAAACAAATATAAATACCTTGTGTACTTTTTAACCAAATAAGGGAAATCCAATGACGAAATTGGAAGACCGAAAAAAGCTTGCGGGAGAAAAACTGACACAAAGTATAAACCCCCTCTGTTCTTGGAAACAAACACCTCAACTAACACTACTAAAAGACTCTTACTCCTCCCTAATTAAAGTGTTCAACATACGGTTGGGAGATCATAAAAGAACAAAAAGGGAACTGCCTGGCCCTTGAATGGGAAACTACTGCGCGTAAGAAAGTTGCCTGTCATAGCCAGACGTGCAGAATCCAGGAACGACGACATAAGAAAAGTAAAGATGCTAACGTAAAGAAACTATCTTTGAACGAGAATACGAGAAAAAACCAAAGCGTTTCTGTTTACGCCTCATGTTTAAATGCGAATGACAGAAAAGATGGCCAAAACGAGTCCTAAATGGGTTGCGAGCAGAAAGACAGAAAGAGATGGAAAGACCTAGGAAGACCCAGACTTGCATGGCAGCAGGGAGTGCAAGAGGCTATGACGGCAAGAGAAATGCAAGATATATATGTGTGTGTGTATATATTTGTTTCACAAAAATTACCCAAAAACTACTAATATTGTCCAAAAATTGGACATAACCTTATTTGACGATCTGTTTTTGATGAACAGATTTCAATAAGGGAAAAACATATCTTCATTATTGTAGTTGTAGGAAGATTTAACAAATTTGGAACTTTTGCAATTTTCGAAGAAACAGGGAGTTTAACGAAATTGCGACTTACGCCATTTCTTACGAGTAATGCATATTTTGCTCTATCAGAGAAAAAAAAGACAAATTTGGAGCCATTTTTGAGAAAATATTGAAAACGTCGATGAGGATTGATTTAACAAAAATTATCGAAAATAAGTTGAATTGAATTTGCCTTATTTTACGTGGCGAGACTCGGGCCATCATGTCCGCTCTTCCGTCTGCCCACGCAAATTTCGCTACGCTCCTTTCATCTAGCAGAGAAAGAAGGTATTTCTTGGGCGAGAAATAGGCGATTTGAATTTATCTCAGAAGCGTCATTTAGGCTCCAGGACCTTTTACATGCAAGTCAATTTACGAACATGGGACAGCCGGCTTTACTTCCCCTCCGAAGGAAGGCGTACGAATGATTTTTTTGCCCTTAAAAACCCACGGCCTCAATCGAGTTTGAACCCGCCCACTTGGGTACAACAGCCCGTTACAGCAGTCAGTTACACCATCGCCGCCGCCTTTAACGTTCTTTTATATACTATGTGCTTAACTATGGCTTAAAAAATAAAAAAAATAATAACAGGAGGCCCTGTATGATAAAAGTGCTACATGCCCCGCATTTCGTTAAATTGGCCCTGATTAAAGCACATACACCGAGAGTGTTTTGGGGACGAGGTTTGGGAGATAGGGTTTGCTGTTATGACAGTAGATAAATCAGTCACAGGGACAGGGGTCGAGCTTGAATTTGAGGGAGTAGACGAAGGGGCTGATGTGGAGGGAGCAGGTGTTGGCGTGGAGGGAGCAGGGTATGATGGAAGGGTGATGCAGGGGATGGTGTAGGGACTAGACATATCAGGCATCACCATTTGCAATATATATTACGAGTAAAAAGATTTCTATTTCGAAATTTTCAGTGCAAAGTTGACATGTTCATGGAATCACCACATGCATGAAATAATCAAGTTTTTTATTATTTTTATACTTAGCTGTTCTCATTAAAATATTATGTATTACTGTTAACAGATTAATTTCAATGCGGCAACGCGTTTGCGTTTTTCGCGGAAAGAAACGAAATTGACATGTGATGTTTTAGAATGTTTGCTTTCCATATCACATGATAAATAATTATTCACTTAATAACAAAGCCAAAATGAGTTAATGATTCTGCGATTTTTTATGTTTTAGAATTGAACATTGTTGCATATATTTTTTATGAAAAAAAAACGATATAAAAACATGTTGGGATGACCAAAGTTTAGTTATGAAAATCCGAGAACCCAATTCTGGAAATTACGAAATTGGTTGCACTGCATCTCAAGACAT